GGGCGGGACCTGGGCGGCGTGGGGCGGGGCGCGGAGGAAGGGAGGCTGAAGGGTATGGGGAGAAGGAGATATGGGGCGGGGGTGGGGGGGGAATTGGAGCCCACGGAGGAAAAACCGAGCGGGCGGGTTTCATCTCCTGGTCTGGGACGAAAGGCAGGCGCACCCCACGAAAGCTCCAAGGCCAGTGGAGGAGAAGAGGAGGCATGAACAACTGGGCAGGTGCAATTCACTGCGGCAGGTTTCCTGGAAGAGGTGCCTTGAACTGGGTCCTGACGGGGATAGATAGGAATTTACCTGTCAGGCAAATAGGGTAAGGCATTCCTAGCGAAAGGAACCATCTAGAAGGCGTGAACAACCATGCTGCTCCCTGATGTTCTCCCGCCCACCCAGCCCTTCCAGCTTCCTTTGCTCCTCACCGTGGACCTGGTCACCAGTGCAGTGGGGTCCTCAGTGACCTGTGTGAGACAACGCTCCGGGCTCAGGTCTGGACGCTGGCGGGGTACTCAGCTGCTCAGTGCCCTCCTCTGCTTATTGGGTATAATCCTAGTCTCGTAGAATTATTGCAAAGACTTAGAATGATGTCCCTGGCACGTGGTAAAGGTTGATAAACGTTAGGTGTTTCCCGGCAGATATGTATTGAGTATATATATCAGGACCCCGATGCCTGCTAGCCCCTGGGTGGAAGGAACCGAAGATGAGAAACAGACCTTGCCTCAGAGACGCATGGTCTGCCACCATAATTTAATTATTTGCTTGTGAGAGCTTTTAATTGGTAAAACATGTTTGACGGTCCTACTGATATCAGTATCGTGTGTGTGTGTGTGTGTGTGTGTGTGTGTGTGGGGTTTTGCTTGTTTTTGTTTGTGTTTTGTTTTTTATCAGTTACACGTGTGTCCTGCAAGAGCAGATTGTTGGCACTGTACATGAAAGATGGCTCCTGGAGCCGGTCAGCACTTGAATCTTGGCATGGCTGCTTTCTAGGGCCAGATTCTGAACCAGCCAGTCAGCCTTCCCCGCCTCGGTTCCTTCACCTGTAACATGGGGCTACTGACAGTACCCACCTCACCCCGGTTTGTGAAGCACTAAGCACTCTGAGAGAAGAGCCGGGCCACAGGAAGTGCTCGAGGGCTGTGGGCGGCTATTAATGCTATATTATCATTACTACTGACCTACCACACTGAGCACATTTTGTTCACATATTGATTTTGAGAATTATTTTTCATTTTTTATTTCTATCATTATTATTGACCAGAGAGACAGAAAGAGGGAAAATGCAAATGCAAGCTCCTAGGTCTGGAACTCAAACCGGTTGACCATGTGAGAGTCCGGCGCTCTAACCACCATGCTGCCTGCCAGCCCCAACATTCAGTACGGTTTTTTTTTTCATTTTTTATGGAGAGATTTTCACTATAGGGCACGTGCGCTCGCCAGACAGAGAGAGACATAGAGACAGAAAGCGAGAAATCACCCCCCAGGGGGGATGGTCACGCCGCAATCCCTTCTCCTCCATTCTCCTCTTGGGATCTTGGGCACGCACGCACATGCGCCCAGTGTGAGTTTTAAGCTACCGGGTCCGGGACACGAACCGCGGTCGACTATGTGGGAGTCCAGCGACATAGCCATTACGCTAACTGCTGGTTCCCTAAGTGCGTTTTAAAGGAATAGAATTTAAAACCAAAATCCTGAGCTTTTTCCTGTTCCTCAGTGTATTCCAGGTGTGCACAGTACATTCATGGAAGGGGCAGTCACAAGGCAGGATCCTGCTTGTAGGAGGTGGTTTGTGGATCTCAAAACTGGCTGCACATCAGAATTGCCAGCAACATTTAGAAACCATCCCGATGCCTGAGTCACCCCGAAGGTCACAATGCTATTGATCTGGAATACATCTAGGTTTGGAGATGGGTTTTGTTGTTGTTTGATTTTTTTGGAGAGGTTTTTTGTTGTTGTTGTTATAGGTCATGTGCGCTTGCCAGCAAGACAGAGAGAGACAGAGAGACAGAAAGTGAGAAATCACCCCCCAGGGGGGATGGCCACACCACAATCCCTTCTCCTCCATTCTCCTCTCGAGATCTTGGGCATGCACACACACAGGCCCGGCATGAGTTTAACCCACCAGGTCTAGGAGTCAAACCATGGTCAACTACATGGGAGTCCAGCGACATAGCCATTACACCATCCACTGGTCCCTAGGCATGGAGACATTTTAAAAGAAAATCCCCAAGTATTTCTAATGACCAGCTAGGTCTGAGAACTGACACCTGCCATGAACAGAGCCCCATAAGTGAGGCTCACAATCCAGAAGCCCCAAGGAAGGAGAGACCTGTGTAGGCTGAAAGAGCTAGGGGTCTGGGCAAGGGATGGTGGATGTTTCCAGGAAGGTGGATCTGGTACAGCTGTTGCCAAAGAGATACAGTCCAGCTGGAGATAACCATAGAGTGCAGAAGAGGAAGCAAGTCTCACCAGACAAGTCCAGTGGCCAGGTGGCAGTTGACAGTGTGTGGATTTAGAAAGGACTATCATTACAATTGAGGCAGCATTAGGAGGGCTGGCCCCAGGGCCAAGTGCTTTAAGAAGATAGAGCCCACATGGCCAATCAAGGTTTGAATCCCCACCTCAGTGGCTTGGAAAACACGCCAAGCATGCATGCATGCCCAAAACTCCAATAGGATGGAGAAATGGAGGACAACAGCAAACATCCTCAGGAGACTCTGAATCACTTTGGTTACCTCTCCACCTCCTTCAGATGTCTCCACTGCTCAAGAACCTTCATTAGTTCACTACTGTCTGCTCAGTTTTTTTTTAATTACTTTATTTATTGTCATTATTCTATTTTTTTGAAATTGACCAGAGAGAGAAGGAAAGTGAGAAAGCAAGCTGCCAGGTCCAGGAGTTTAACCCACCAGGTCTAGGACTCAAACCATGGTCAACTACATGGGAGTCCAGCGACATAGCCATTACACCATCCACTGGTCCCTAGGCATGGAGACATTTTAAAAGCCAATCTCCAAGTATTTCTAATGAGCAGCTAGGTCATTAGAATGGAGTCCAGCCATCACAACCACCTTGCCACCTGCTGGCCCTCTGTTCAGTTTTTCAAGCTGTCAGGGCTGGGATTTGAACCACAGTCAACCATGGGGGATCTGATTCCCAATACATAGCACTTAACCACGGTGCTATGGGGCCAGTCTTTCCTCTTTTTCAGTGTAAATATTTGTGTTATAAATTTCCCTTTCACCACTCTTTCAGTTGTGACCACACATTCCGACATGCTGTGTTTTCATTTTCATTTAACTCAATGAATTTTTAAGTTCCCTTTGCTACTTCTCCTTTTACCCATGGATTATATAAGGGGTTGTTTAGTCTCTAAGTGCTTAGAGATTTTCTGCTTTCTTTCTGTTGTAGTCATAGAACTCACTCTATATGTTTTCGAGACTTTTGTTAAGGTTTGTTTTATGACCCAGGATATGATCTTTGGTGATAAATGTTCTCTAGGGGAGTGGAAAAAAATCCATTCTGCTCTGCCTTTGGTTTGTTTTGTTTTGTTTTTTGGTTTTTGGTTTTTGGGTTTTTTTAGGTTTCTGCCATAAGGTACATATGCTCACTGGAGAGAGAGAGAAACACTTAGAGAGAAAAATGAGAAATCACCCCCCCAAGAGGATGACCATGCCACAATCCCTCCTCTTCTATTCTCCTCCTGGGATTTTGGGCACACACGCATGTGCACCCAGTGTGATTTTTAAGCTGCCGGGTCCGAGATTCAGACTTCAGTCGGCCATGTGCGAGTCCAGCAACGTAACCACCACACCATCTGCTGGCCCTGCATTCTGCTTTCTATGCTATAAATCTCAATTATATACTGTCAGTTGCTGGGGGTGTTGAGTTCTTCTATATCCTTGATGATTTTTTGTCTAGTTGTCTTATCAATTGTTCAGAGAGGGTTTTGAAGTCTCTGACTATAAATATTATAGATGTGTCTAGTTCTCCTCTCAGTTCGGTCAGTTTTTGCTTCGCCTGTTTTACAACTCTGCTGTTTGGTGCTACCAGATTCATGTGCCTTCATGGTGGGTTGACCATTTTATCTATATAATGTTTCTGAGTATCTCTAGTGATGTTTTTGGTTTTACTCTGAAGTCTACTTTATTCTGCTTTTCTTTAATTTTTCTGTGATGCACCTTTTTCTATTATTTTACTTTCAACCTGA